TTATGTGTGTGTATAAGTATACACATTTATATAAAATGTTTGGGAGACCTGCCTGTATTGCATGTAATAGATATACATATACGGGGTTTGGTTTAATTGTCTGCGTTGCATGTATACGTATAAGGGGTGCACACATACAAAATTATACTCAATGCCATCAACAAGGTTAGGGTCTAGGGTTTATGGAAGTATACAAACTCATCGTAATTGGTAAAGTGAGCTGCACACACACATATAACTGTACCCGGATCTGCAGATGAGAACCTAAAATAGAAAACGTAATGAGAAAACGTACCGCTTATGTGGTATAGAGAATGATACTCTCTTCCCACAATAATATATGGCATTGCCGTACGACATTACAAATCATATGATGGTGCATCACTGTATTATACGACAAATGTCTGACGCGGTACACAGTATAGATACAAACAAGTACGCACAGCAATGCATATGAGCATATATGGGAATGCAGTGGAAGGTCGATGCATATATATATTTAGCTATATAGGAGGGATATACATGTATGATATATGTATATATATATATCTATACAGAAGAGTTATATATGTATGATATATATATATATATATATATATATATACAGAAGAGTTATATATGTACTTATATGCATCACCACAACAAAACACAGCACCTACACCAAAACCCTAAACTCTAAAACCACATGTCTGCAAACGTTGCCACAATAAGCACATACCAAATTAAGGAATTGAGCGGCAAAGTGCCGTCCTTCTTCTTTAAAAACGTTTGGAGATCGCCCATATCTAGATACTCCAGTAACATGCACAACTGCACAAACAAGGATATAAGAGAATACGGATATGAGAAAATAAGGATATAAGAGAAAATAAGGATATGAGATAGTGAGGATATGAGAGAATAAGGATATGAGAGAATAAGGATATGAGAATATAAGGATATGAAAGTATAATAATATGAGAGAATACGGATATGACAATATAAGGATATGAGAAAATAAGGATATGAGCGAATAAGGATATGGGAGAATAAGGATATGAGAGAAAAATTATATAAGAGAATACGGATAAGATATTATAAGGATATGAGAGAATAAGGATATGAAAGATTCGGTTATCTAGAGATGCATGGATATGAATATCAGACTACTCTCAAGCGAAAGACTTGCGCTAGATAACACAGTTGCCTATGCCACATTACCAACTAGCAGTGACTTCTACTTACCCTGCGGTGAAAAAGGAAGCAACAACTAAAAGCGCAAACGCAGACAATAACAACCATTGGAAGACCAAGGCGACACTCGAAGGATGTCAGAGACGCTGCGCACGCGGTAACTGTAGTGTGACTATACCTATAGAACGACCATGCCACATCGGGATTGGTACTATGTGGTTATAGTGACCTATAGTAAAACCCAAAACCCTACACCATACAAACCCTAAACCCAACAATCCCCTCGATTGCCCCGCGACTTACTTGAGAGGCTGGCTTCTCATCGTGACTGCCGTTGGACGGTAGCATACCACGCGACGCGCCAAGGACGCGCACAATGTTAACATGCTCCAACTGTTGCAGCAATTGGATTTCCTCAGCAAACATTTTCTAAGAAAAAGAAAGAGAAGCAGCATGGCTCAGTCAAATGTCACATCTCTGACAACCAAACAGTC